TACATTTCTTTCTAAATTATGGAACCGAGGTTCTGGGTCATCCCGGCGCTTCAAACTGCTCTGATTGTTGGATTTCAACGGTCAGATTCAAAATTCAGACCGTTGGCGATTTCGGGTTCGAACCGCCCGCCCGAAACCATTTATAATAAAATAACTAGGCCGTTGAAACTCCAACAGTCCAAATTTAATTTTTTGCCAGGTCCGAAACCAGACCCAACATGGCCTGACCCGGACCCAAAAATTAAAAATAAATGATTTTTTTTTTTTAAAAAAAAAAGAAACTAAAACTAAAAATGCTTTGGTACTAAGTTTGGTCTTGGTCCCGAGATTTATGGATCTAAATGTGGATATCAATCATTCAAAAAGAGAAAAGAAGTTTAATCAACTTGCACTATAAATTGTTTGATATCCAAACATCCACCTTGAAATCTAGCTATTGAGTACACATATCCAACAAATGATGCATATCATATTTCTTTTTTCCTTTCCATTTTCCCAATATTGATTAATTAAGACAAACATGATAATAAAATATAATACCAAAATTAATAATAAGTTAAATGATATAAATAATAATTAAAACGTAATTACTTTGTAAGAGCATTCATTTTTCATTTACCAATATTTTATGATAACATGCGAATGAAAAACAGGGAATATCTTGTTCAAAGAGAATGGCAGAGAAAGTTTTTTCCTATATAAAAGTTTGTTAGTGGAATTATGTAAAAAAAGACAGTTGATTAGTGGAAACTGATCGGAATAATAAAACTGTTCTTACCTGTTTTCCCCACACGAGATTGTGCTGACCTAAATAAACTGTATGGCCCATTACAACTACTAGTACAGAGCCATGCGATGCACGGGTGCATAATTTTAAGGCTATTTATCCATGCTTATAATTATATACATGAATAAAGAAAATGTACGGAATATATATAGTACGTGACCTGTGCGAAGCACGAGATATATTTATTTGGAGAATATTATATTATAAGATGCAATATTCAATAAAAGTTTATAATACGCAAGAAAATTGTACAATGTTCAATAAAAGTTTTATAATATTCCAGTGGAGTCTTAAAGTCTCTTGTACATTAAGACTACTGACAAAATAATATTTTAATCAATGAGTTTCCTTTCCTTGTAGCCAAATTGTGAATGTGATTTGAGGAGTACAACAAATCGATATATAGTTGACTTGCTTTTTTCATTATAGTTTTTTTTTCTTTTTTTTATAATGAATTTAAAGATATTCTAAAATATAGCAAAAATTAATTTTTTTATTACAAATTAAGAATTTTACTAAATATAAACTCTCAATCTATGGTGTTAATCAACGTTTAAGTCTAAAAAATTAGGAATTTTTACCTCTTTTAATCAACGTTTAAGTCTGAAAAACAATAGAGTTATTATAAATTTTTTTTCTACATCTTTTAAAACATTAAATATGAGCATGTTAGGGCTAGCTTGTAAAATAATTAATATATTATCTTACTAAAATATTTATACTAATAAAAATTTAATTTTAGCATATAAATTTATCTCTTGATATAAGAGAAAGTAACAGTTTTACTTATTGTTGTTCACTATATTATATTTAATTATTATTTTATTATATAATAAAAAAGAAATATTGTTAAATAGTGTAGTAGAATTATTATAAAATTATATGATTTTTTTTATTTTACAATATGGATTTAATATTTTTATGATTTGATAATATAAACAAATCTATATTTAACTTTGACAAATAAAACAAATAAATACTTTAGTAAGTATTTAATGTATATACTAAATAGGAATATATTTGGTATAATCAAATACCAAATATAATCAAATAAGTCAAAGTGTACATTTTTATTTGGTATTTGATTTTTTTATTATTAAAATCTTTTTATTATACTTACCTTCTTAAAATAAAACAAATAAATAAATCAATTAAATAAATAAAATATTATAATACCAAAATAGTAATGACATTTAATGCAGTTGACTTTTCTGGATAGTAAATGTAGTAAATAGAATCTCCTTTTATATAAGTATAGATTTCACAAGCTGGTTTAAAAATCAATTTAATTAATGCTAATTTCATAAGCTATCAACCTTTTCAGTTGACTATGCCCAAATCCAAATTACACAGTCTCACAGAAAGTCGCTCTACCTTAATCTGTGATTACTGATTAGTAATCATTATAAGTTAATATATATAAAATTTATGTAAACAATTTATGATATTCTTTTATTTAAATGTCTAGTTAACTCGGATGTATAACCTTTTATCTTAGAACTTATTTCATATGCTTATTATATATAACTATAAAAAAATTGTTATATTCCAACGGAAAATCCTGTGGTAATATATTCTAATGAAAATTTCAACGGATATTCCAATGGTATAGCTTCCGGTGGAATGATTCCAACGGAAATTCCAATGAAAATATTCCGTTGGAATGTATTTTTTATTGAAATTTTAGATGGAATTTGATGATTCCAACGGCTATTGACTGTAGGAATTTCCGCTGGAATATACAATTCTGTTGGAATTTTTATTTCCACCACCATTGGAATCGTCAAAATCCAACAGAAATTTCAATGGAGAATTCATTCCAATGGTATATATTTGTTGGATTTTAGCATTGAAAAATCCATTGGAATTGCCGTTGGAATTCTATTGGAATATATTTCCGTTGGAATTTCATCATTTTCTTGTAATATATGCTTATGCTGACATTTCAGAGAATTTCATTAATTTTTCGGTGCAGTCGACTTATTTACATATCTATGAACTAATATGCTATCAGCCATCAACTATTCAATTATTTTTCCATTATCAATGAATTCATGCTAACTTAATAACATCAATAATTACCCCTATCACCCTTTGTGTAGCAAGTTTACCACATAGATATTGGGCTGATTAGAAAAAAGCCCAGGAAATATTTATCACATGATAATTTCTTTATCGAACAATATGAACTATATACTATCCCATTTAATTATGATTAATTCACTTTATCATTATCTACTTTATTAATTGATGGAAAATGAAGTTTAAGGTATGAATTATCTACTGTAATGCTGAACAATTATCATTTTTTTTTTTCACATTCAAAACTACTTTCTTAATTTATATTTTGTCTTGCAACACTCCAAACAACCACTGTCAAAAAATTGTTATATTTCAACGGAAAATCCTATGGTAATATATTCCAATGGTATGACTTCCGTTGGTTCCGTTGGAATGATTCCAATGGAAATTCCAATGAAAATATTCCGTTGGAATGTATTTTTCATTATAATTTAAGGTGAAATTTGATGATTCCAACGGCTTTTGATCGTAGCAATTTCCGTTGAAATTTTTATTTTTACCATTATTGGAATCGTCAAAATCCAACGGTAGACTTCATAAATAAACACATAAGTTCAACCGGCTAACTAGCCGAAAGAGGGAGACCTACCAAAGGTAGCTTAAATAACAACACACTACAAACACACAAATGTGGTATAATTTGGATATAAAAAATTTTGGATTTGTTTGAATTTTTGGGTTTGGTTGGGTTAATTTTGAAAAATGTAGTATGGTGAGTTGTTAGTGGGTATATTAAAATAATATTTAATATATAATAATTAAAGTTGATTTGATGTAAAAATATGAGAGAGATGATTTGAAGTGATAGTTGATTAAAATTATATAAGTGGATGAATAGTGAACTAAAATTTATGTGATGCGTAAAAATGATTGGTTGATATTATTTAATTATATTGATAATATTGATGATAATGGAGTTGGGTTAAAGTTGTGTTAAAAAATGTGGTTGAGTTAAAACAAATACAAGATAAAATATCTAAATGATAGACTTCATAAATAATTGAACTATATTTAATAATATAGTTGCGGAGCAATTATTTGGTCAAGAATGCAAGGATTGATTTTATCTTATGTCTAGTTATATAAAACAAATACAAGATCAAATATCTAAATGTTAGTCTTACACAAGAAATATGAGACCAATCTAATCTAAACCTTGCTTCTCAAGATTAAATTAATCTATTTTGTCTAGAAAAGCAAACATAAGTATTACGTAGGGAATAAAAATTCATCGCTTGCAACATTTACTTGTAACGGTATCGAACGGAGGGATGTTGACAATTAGTGAGTAGTATTACATGAATGTGTGTGTTCTATCAAAAGGTGGAGACAGCTTTCCATAATTGATGTTTAAATTTTTTCACAAATATCTGGTACGAAAAGCTAGGGAATGCGATGAGAATCTAGAAAAATGCCCATTTCCCATTATTTCCTAAAAAACAGTCCTGAATTCGAATTCCTCTATACCAAAATGAAATGATGAGAGAGAATGAGCTTAGAGAGAAGGTGGGAAAAAAAGAGCAGAGAATAAAAAAGAGAGACCGGATGTTGACAAATTTCGTGTCACTGTTCTTCCAAGGTCGTTTGTTTATGAGGAGATTTTCTCATTTGGGATCTCTCTCTCTTTCTTGATTAAAAAAAGAAAAAAAAAAAGAGAGAGAGAGAGAGAATTTTTACTTTATTTATAGTAAAGAATTTAACTTTGTTGATAAGCACCGCTCAATATATATTGACTTGCAAGAGTAACTATTCTTTCTTGTTTTTTCGTTTTCGATTTTCCTCCCATTTCTCTCTCTAGAGGTTCCATGGTTTCTTTTCCTTGGCGTGGAGAGAGGGAGAGACTGGCCCATCAGATCGAAGTCTCCAATCTTTAGTTGGTTTTCATGGGATCTGAGCTGATTCTATGGAGTTTAACAGACCACTCCTTTAATTTTTCCTTTGTTTCATTTTGCAATTATTAGTGTTACTTTATCTTGTCTGCTCCTATTATTATTTGTTTTTCCCTTTGTTGTTGGCTTTGAATTGGCAAAATTCCAACTTCATATTCAACTGAACTGGGGATACTGTTATTCGATTCAATTCATGAGGGGTTCATGAGAAGAAGCAGTTTCAGGATGTGGGTCTGAGGTAATTTGGTTCTTTTTTGTTTGTTAAAATATATTTTTGTTTTTTTTAAGATATACATGGTTTTGACTCTGACCCAGAAGAAGAAAAACGCTTCTCCCTTTTTTCCCCCTCAAAATTTCACCTTTTGACAAATCATTTGCTTGGGTTGAGGTCATCATTATATTCAAAATGTCTGCTTTTCTGAGTTCAGAAGTCTTGATGGTAATGATATCGTTGGTAGATTGATTGTATTACTTCAGCTGTATGTGCTATCAGTTTATCTTGAATTTGATCTTTACTTGAAAGGGGGTTTTGTTCTCATGTATGATCATTCATTTAGGATCTGCTTTCTATTTGCTATCATTTGTTTTGCAGTGTACATAAACTGCAATTTTGTTCTTGGTAAGTTTTTGGCTTCTAAAGCTATTCCTTGGGATTATAATTCTTAGTTTGGCGACATTATCTGAATTTATGCTTCAAGGTAGTATACTTAAGTCCAGTCATAAATGCACAGGTTTTCATATATTACAATTTGAAATGGTTAGCATCCTTTGTTTATAGTTACAGCTCATAATTTCTTGAGGAGTATAGTTCTTCATAATTTCTTGTTTTGGTGATGTTATCTGTATACAGATTGTTAAATTTTTACAATTTGTAATATTACCGTTATCGGAGTATGCTACGTTGCGTTAGCTACTTCACGTGTTTTTTGTCTTTTATGGCTCATGAGGTTAGTTTTAAAATATTGATATTCCCTTGTCATTTGCACGGCATTGATAAGGTGGTCCCTGACCTTGCGCCGGATAAAACTAAATTCCCAGATTCAAGTTAAAATTTCTTCTTCCATGTTCAAATTGTATTTGAAGAATCTTGGTTGATTTGGTTTTGGTCGTGTGGATAATTTTTCTTTATCATTAAAGTCTCCCATTTTCTTTTATTTTCCTTCAGTTGGTTGTTTTTCATATCCAACTTGCGAATCCTGGTTAGATTTTTCTTGAGTTTCTCTATGTTCATGTTTATTTTCTTCGTTTTATAGTACTTTTCGTGAAGGAAACCTTTTTAACATTCGATTTGGAGTTGTAAAAGTTACTAAAACTATCTTTCCAAAATTGCAGGAATGGGAACAAAGATACAGTGCTACATGCCAGGATATTATTACTCAATGAGGGATCTTAACGAGGACTCTAGCAGTAATAGCTGGCCCGCAAGTTATGGGGATAATAAGGCCATGGCAAACGGGCAATATCATAACGGGTTTGTGCAGAATATCACAACAGATGGTTATCTAGGGTATGGCAAGGATGCTTTGAAGCAGAAAATGCTTGAACATGAGGCAGTTTTTAGAAGTCAGGTACTTTTCTTGTTTTCCTTTTTCATCATCAAGTTTCAGTTGTCACGCACAATCTAACTGGTACCTTGTATTATGATCCCTATTTTCGAGTTTATAGATTATAGCTGATGACTTATAGGTGAAAAGCTAGTTTATATGATAAAAGTGTTTGGTAAAATTAGCTGATAAGCTTGCTGAAATAAAAATTTCAATGAGCTTATTTGAAAAGCTACCTAAAGAAGCTTATGAGATAAGCTCGAGTTTTTTTTAAAAAGCTCGTCCTGCCAAACGAATTAAATACATGAAACTTATATAAGCTAACAAAATAAGCTATTGGTTACTAAACATAGCCTTTAGCAGAATGAAAACGAAAAATTTTGGCCGTTTCGCCCAGCATTTAAACTCTGCTATTATTATGTAGAGTTTAAAGATGTAGTTGACATTTGAAAACACTGGAATATTTTTTTCTTGCTTTTTTTTTTTTTTTGTGTATATGTATAATTATAGTTATATGCATCCAGGTTTACGAACTCCACCGTCTTTACCAAATTCAAAGGGACATGATGGAAGAATTGAAAAGGAAAGAAGAGCAAAAACTCCGAGTATCAACTGAGCAATCATCGTCTCAAGATCCTCGTAAATGGCACATGTCAGGCTTCCTTCAAGAAAAGATGTCTCATTCCAGACTGGAAATCGAGAATTCACCCATGAGTTGTACCAAAGGGTACAACATCACGCAGCCCAGCAGTCACTCTCCTTTCCACAACATTCCTTCTCTTAAGGAAAGGAAAAAGTTGTTCGATCTTCAACTCCCGGCAGATGAATATATTGACACAGAGGAGGAAGAGGGCAAAGTATCTGACATGTCGAGTCATTCTCCTTGCACGAAACGTGGACGTGAAATTACGAATTTGTCCCTCGGCAATCGTGGGATTAAGTTGGCCGATTTAAATGAGCCCTTTGAAGTTGAAGAGTCTGTGGGTCCATCTACTGTTGATTTCCTCGATTTTGGTGGGATGAAAAAAGGCGGGAGTCGGGTTGATAAGTCGGATGCGGGTTGTTATTTTGGTGAAAATGAAGACAAAAAGCGAGGAATTTGTGACGGGTTTTCTTTTAAGTCTTGTGTTGCAAGTAAGGTTAATGAGAGTGCATGGTTCTCGCATCCATACGAAGCAGGTGAAGATTTATTACGATATAAACCACCCTGAGGTTTGACATACAACAGAGAGAGAGGGAGAGAGAGATGGGGAGAGATTACTTTAAATCCTGAAGTTCGATTTAGTGTAAAAATAAGGGAATACAAAGGTTTTTTCTTTTTGAAATGTTCTTACTTTTGAAAAGCGCAAATACAAAAAAACGAATCTCAGGTGTACTTTTTCCATAGAATTTTTTAATGCTTAAACTTTTGTTTCGAAACTTGACTTTTGCGATGAAAGTATGTCATTCGCATTGCAAATAGGTGTTTTGTGCGGGACCAAGTTTTTTCGGTGACGTTGATAAATTCTTCTATTTTGGTCTTTATTTACTATTTTCCATAGAATTTTTTAATGCTTAAACTTGTTTCGAAACTTGATTTTTGCGATGAAAGTATGTTATTCGCATTGCAAATAGGTGTTGTGTGCGAGACCAAGTTTTTTCGGGGACGTTGATAAATTCTTCGGAAAGCTGATATAGTTTTTTCCTATAGCAAGGGTAAACCGCGAGTGTACTTGTAGCAATTAACCCTCTTTTGGAAAAAAAGCTGCAATTTTCTTTTTTCAGTGTCGTTTATTCTATTTATGTCATGAGCTTACTGTTAAATTGTAAGCTTGTATAAGTTACTACTTTATGATTTACTATCAGGAATCTCTTCACCAAATGGGTACTGTGAAGAAATAATAGTGTTAACTCGAGTTGTAAGCTAGCCTATTTTATTTTTATTGATTTATCTGGGCTGATCCATGCAGTCTAAAATTGTGATTTTCATCACACCACTTACAGCTTTGTGGTAAACAATTCTTTCCCGTTGTCGTGTCACTTGAAATAAGACTTCCATACTTTATTATATTCATTCATTATTTCAAAATTTGCATTTTGTAAGCATCCCTTTTAATTTGTGCACAAAGTACAAAAATAACTTTCCTCTCATCAGACACTTTGAGCTCTATAGTTTTGGGCATTGCTAATTCTTCTGTTACTGAAAATGCTCTCCCAACTTTCTGAATATTTCAGGTTCAAGTAAAAGCAACCTCAGTTATGCAACTCAAAAAGAAAAGATGCCAATACTCTCTCATCCAGCTACAGGCATGCCTAATCGGGCTTCGGGTTCGGGCCCATTCTTTAGTTCTTGCTTTTCCAGTTCACAGCCAAACTCAAATCTCATTTCTGGACATAAAATAACTGCAAAGAACAGATTTTATCACGGATCGTCCTCAAAAGCAAATAACTTTCCGGGCTTTGATAACCTGAACTGCAGTAGTAGGGCCGCTAGTAATCAGTCGACCAATCGAATATTCGGACAGATTCTTCAAAACTCAAAACCCGTAATAATTATCGACTTGAATGAGGACGAAGATGGTAGTAATAATAAAAGTAATAAGCAAACTTTGCCTTGGCTTACGACGGATCTCAATCAACCTTCGAACGACATTGAAGTTTCGAATACGGAAAAGACAGAAAGTTCCAAGAAACTCATGGGATTCCCCATTTTCGAAACGGGCGCGCCACCTGTCATTGACTGCCCGAAAAATAAAAACCGGACAATCGACCTAAATTTGGAGTGTGAGCTCGACGAAGATCCACGAGTCGATACACAAACTGCTGAGAAGGGCAAAATGGGAAGAATTGGGCCGCTTATCGATCTGAATTCGTGCGATAGCAATTTTATCGAAGAAGACGACGTTGAGATAAATGCGGCTGATATAATGGTCTCCATCTCATCCTACAATCCTCTAGCTGAGTCTCTAATGTGGCTCGCGGGCCTGTTTGAGGCCCACGGGCCCGAAGTGCCATGGCCTGGCCCACCACCGCATGGAGAGATTGACGATTTTGAGGCCATGACATTACAAATACAGGAGACCAAAGAGGAGGACTACATGCCAGCTCCATCTGGCCCAGTTCAAGTGGGGCCCGCAATTTACGTGGGCCGGGCCAGGAGAGGCCAGCAGAGGAGAGGGAGGCAGCAAAGGAGGGATTTCCAGCGAGACATTCTCCCGGGCCTTGCCTCTTTAACAAGGCAAGAAGTGACTGAGGATATACAGGTGTTGGGTGGGCTCATGCGGGCCATGGGCCAGGACTGGTCACCGGGCCAGCCCAAGAGGAATATGGGCCCAAGGGGCAGACGGCGGGCCCATGCAGCAGCTGAGGAGCAGATGTTGGGATGGGGGAAGAAAACGAGGCGGCCCAGAAGGCAGAGGTGCCAGGTGGCGGGTAATAGTAGCAATAGCAACGGTAGTAATAATAATAATCCTCCTCCGCCTGCTGTTGCATTAACATAATTTAAAAATAATGAGAAGAATATAAAGAAAAGAAAAGGAAAAGAGTTTACTTTTATATAATTTGATTGTGTTGACCTCATGAAAGGGGATGAGACTCGAGGAGGAGGCTCGGTATACGAGTTTTTTCGTGAGACTGGAGATCGTTGTCTTTGTAAATTTCGTCGTAGGCTGGTTATAATTTGGGTTGTGGTTGTAGTTTTTTCCCTTTGATGTGTTGTTGAGGAAATAATGTTAGCTTTGATTTGATATATACACACAACTTTGTTTCTGTTTTGAGTGAGTTTTGTTCTTTGTTTCTCACTAAGAGCCACCAGCAGACTGAAATCTGAAGATCCATTGGATCAATGTATAGAGCCTGAGTATTTTCCAAATTTATGGTAACAAAATGGTAGGGATTTTATTTATTTGGTGAATTACATTATGCAGTTTGGTTAGACATGACCACAGCTCGTGGTCAACGGGCCTTGAACCGAGCCTTGGTTTAATCAGGCCAGTTTCGGGCCACATATATTATATATGTACTTTTTGAATCGTTGGGCCCATTCCGAACTTGAACCGGGGTTCGTCCATTTTCTTGGAATTTTTTTATCATTTTCTGATTTTTGTTTTTAATTTTTTTTTTTAATGAACTAGGCCGATTCAGAACCGGTAGTTTACCGAACTGGCTGTGCATATGTTTGGATTGGTTCAAGGTCGTCAAACCCTTGGCCTGATATTCGTTTTGACTATGGCTAAGTGTGGTTTGATTCGTTGAGAAGTGATAACCCTTCTTAAAGCCACTTTTACAATCCTATTTTATATGAAGTCATTTATATTGAACTCGAGAATAAGATTATCTTTATCAACTACTAAACTCAGCGTAATAATTAAAAAAAATTTCTATAATTCACCTACACAATTCAATCTTACAATTCCACTTATGTTTACTAGTGACTCAGCCCAACCTAAAATATTTATTTTATTTTTATTTATTTATTTATTAAGTATTATCTATAATTAATTTGTGTTATTTTTTTATTTGTTACAAATTAAAAAAGAAATCTATAATTAAAGTCGTAATGATTCTAAAAAATTAATATTTTACCACACTGTTAAAAAAATTGAACTCAATTAATTTTTGAAGAAAATGGCTAATGTAAATAATTTATGAAATTTGAAAATTTTCAGAGTTTGACAAATTTGAGAGTTGAGATAATATTCAAAATTTGAATCTATATAATATTTGTTGGAACTTAGAAAGAGAAAAAGGAAATAGATGATAAAAGTAATAAAGTAGAATTTTTTTAAAGGGTGAAAAGAGAGAATTTGCAGTACTATTCCAAAATACATCAAATGTGATATTTATTTATAAAGAATGGTAAAATATGAATTTTGTTATTTTTTTTAAATATAAATTGATATGAATTATTAAGCTTTAGAAATTATTTATAAATATCTTATCTAAAAATTATGACAACTAATAAAAATGGGAGAAATGTCTCATTCCCACCTACAAATTACGTCACAACCCCAAGTTAGAATGTGACTTGGATGTGCAACTTTCTGAATTTTTATATTATATTATTTTATTCTTTTTCTTTTTGTTTTTTCTAGTTTTAGCTGGTGACCAAAGAATTGGGTAACCAATAGAGAGTCTAAAACTTTTGTCTAAATCGTTAGCTCTACTGAAAATGGCTGCATTTTCAACAAGGTTAATTACACGATATATATATATATAAAAAGTTATTTAATTGATAAATAATTTTATTATATTTTATGAATAGTGATGGATAATTTATTTTTTTATTATAAAGATAAATATGTATCTTTACTTATATATGCAACATAGATTACAAAATTTAAGCTCCTCGAGAAATTGTTAATTTGATATCTCATTTATGAAAATATGATAAAAGATACAAATGTTATTAATTTAAAAAATGTATTTATAATTTAAGTTAGTCAAAATTTTTATAATTTTAAAATTCCTACTAGACATGGATAGAAGACCAAATCTATATTGACCACAAATTGCTACATATAATTACGAAGCACAAATTCATACATAAATTAAAAAAAAAAAAAATCTGCATGTAGAGAGGGTTATTGACAAATATAATTTACAAGTCATGATAATTTGATGTTGTATACAATAAGTAAATTATACCATATATTACTTAAATAATACTAATAATTTTATCAATATGATATATTTTACTTGTTGTATATAGAAGGTTGACTTTACTATAGAACTACCCGGTTGACTTCATAGCAAAACCGTTTAAAATAAATTAGGACTAGTTCACTAATTCTCATCGTCTTAATTTCTTCGGCATAATTCAAAATGTTTTTGATTTTCAATTAGAAGCTAAAAATTGATGTCTTCGGGAGCTTCAGTTGGGCCTATTTTATTTTAAGTATAGGCCCAATTGCAGTATAGTTCACCATCTCTTTGTGCAAGTCAGTCCCCGCGAAAACTTGAAATGCATTAAGCGAATAACAAAAACTAGTGAGAGATGGTAAATTGGTAATAGTAATACCAAACAAACCAAATTAGTTTTTGATATGGTAAATAAAACATTGATATGAAAATTACTTACAAAACTAATATTTCTACTAATATAAATTGTATTTATGAAAATAAAAAACTAATTCAAAATGATGATGATGGTGACAACAAAAACAACAAATTAGTAGGGGGAAACCCGAGATGATATACAGAACAGAGACCTTTTATTGAAAACCAAATAAGAAAATAGATTATATGAAATCCTAAAAAATCAATCAAATCGCATTCTTCACCAATGTATTTTGATAGGACTATATCTTCTACATTAATAAATAAGGGTCCTCCTTAAGGTAAAACACATACACAATTCAGAATTCAAGCCTCAAATTCTAGAGATTTGAAAATTTATCGCAAGAAGATTTGAAAATTTTTTAAATATTCAAGAACGTTCTAATTGGAGAACGTCATTTAATTAATCCAACAAATGAAGCCTCTAAAATGCATTATTAAAATAAGAGGATTTCATATAAAGGTTATATACATAAGACGATTGAAATAAATTGTATTGTGTAATTTTTTATATATGTAAACACATAAAATTTAATATTTCAAAATGAAGAAGATGATGTCTCGTCAAGTCGTGAAGTCGGTGAAAATCATCAGCTTCATCAAATTCATCCAAATCGGATAAAAAAAAAAAATCAGTCTTCCACAGCCAAAAACAAAAATATTATAAATAAAACTAATGATATAGTATACACTTATATTTTCTCCCCTAAAATTTGAAATGATTTTATAATTCTACTAGCTGTTTTAGTTCTTTTATTATTTATTTTATATTTATTATTTTATTTGTATAATTAATATATTAACTATTTTATGTTCATGTATGTTATTTTTTATTATCATATTAATATACAAATATTGTGCTGCCAGTTGGATTTTAGATTGCAATGGTGATGGGTACAGCACTTGAGAAATTAACAGGTGGCACTATAAATAAATAAACCAAATAGAGCGATGCTAAATCAGACACTTGTATACTTGTACATGCACACAAACAATTTGGGTTACATGGCCAAATAACGATCTCAAGAGCATTAGATATTATTATGCCTTCAAATTAACATCTGTGAGCAGGGTTGGGATTTGGGAAAATAAAATTGCAGTTTTATTGTTTGTCAATTTCTAAGATTTTTTATTTTAATTTATTCAGTTTATTTTCTCATTATTTATTTCAAAAAAAAAATCTTTTTTTCCTTTCTTTTCATTTTTAATAGGTTTTACGTTTCCTATATAATTCAATTTTTAGTTTATAGAGTTTTTTTTATGTGTTCGGTTGTTTCGGTTTTAGTATATACTCTCCCTTTTATTCTTTTTAAATGTTATTTTGACTATATCAATCATTAACGAAATAAATGACATTTTAGATTTTGTACATATTTTTCTATTATTACCCTCATTTAGCTAATGAATACACTACTACGTCTTTTCATATCCACTCTTAATTTTCATGTTATTAATTTTCATTAAAGAGGGTTATTGTGTAACTTCTCAAAACGACATATATTATAAACATGAGGGAGTATTCTTTTTTTATTTGAAAATTTTGTAATTATTTTATATTGAGGGTTAATATTAAAAAAATGATTTGATGTGGTACAAAATTTATATTTATACAATACTCATTCATTTTATTTTTTTCATTCTTGCTAAAATCGTAAAAGAGAACATGATAATGGAAGAAAGAAAGTTTTCTGTATATTCGTAGAAAGAGTTTACAGAGAATATATAGAGATTACAAGAGAGAAAATCAAATAGAGATAAGATCATATCAAATCAAATATCTAGATACTAAAGATAACTATGGGAATATCTTCCATATATATTTATCTGTTACACCCCCCCTCAAGTTGGGGCATGAAGATTCCGAATGCCCAACTTGTTGAGAGTTCGTGAAGTCTTGTCCACCTAAGGCCTTAGTAAAAATATCTGCCAGCTGAGCCATGGTGAAAACATAACGAGGAGCAATAAGGCCCTTCAATAGTGCGTCACGAACAAAGTGGCAGTCAATCTCAATGTGTTTAGTGCGTTCATGGAACACGGGATTGGAGGCAATATGCAAAGTTGCCTTACTGTCACAATGGATAGAGATTGGATACGAATGATCAACACCAAAACATCCCAGAAGGGATTTCAACCAAGTCAGCTCACAAGTGGTAGAATCCATGGAGCGATATTTTGCTTCGGCGGAAGAGCGAGAGACAGTAGATTGTTTCTTTGTCTTCCACGAGATGGGCGAGGATCCGAGTTGGATGATCCAACCAGTGAGAGAGTGACGCGTAAGTGGGCATCCCGCCCAATCAGAGTCACACCAAGCAGTAAGAGGTAAATCAGAATCAGCGGGGAAGAAAATGCCTGACCAGGACGACCTTTCAAATAACGCACAACACGAAGAGCAGCATCCCAATGATCGTAGAGAGGATTGTGCATAAACTGAGACAAAACATGGACGGAATAAGACAAGTCTGGTCGGGTGACAGCAAGATAAATAAGCCTTCCGACCAAACGCCGGTATTTTTGTGGATCCGATAGTGGAGGACCAGTGACAAGCGGAAGCTGATGATTTTGCTCCAATGGAAAGGAGGCCGGCTTAGCCTCGAGAAAACCAACCTCGGACACTATGTCAAGAGTATACTTCCTCTGGCACAAGAAAATGCCGAAGGAATTGCGAGCGACTTCCAATCCCAGGAAGTATTTCAAAATGCCGAGATCCTTCATATGAAAGCAACGACTTAAATAAGCCTTAAAAGAAGAAATAGCCCCACTATCATTCCTGGATATGATCAGATCATAAACATAAACGAGAACGTGCAGTTGAACACCATCGCGGCACAAGGTAAAAAGAGAATAATCGGCATAAGATTGACGAAAGCCATATTGGCGAAGTGCCGTAGTGAAATTCGCAAACCAACACCGAGGAGCCTGCTTAAGGCCATATAGGGACCGCTTCAAGCGACAAACAAGATTA